GGCAACACGTTGTTGTATATTAACGTAAGAAAAAACAGTATCTTTCCTATTGGTTGAAGTCTCGACGGCTATTGTGTTGTGATGATTTTTGTGCGTTTGAGTGTATCTTTCTGAACGAGAATCCAGTGAGAGATTCAGTCGTTACGCTGCCAGGAAATACAACATATTGTGCCATATGCTGGAGAAACATGAGCTGCCGCACCTGTAATCGTTTACGAACATACAGTACATGTTCGAAGCTAGCTCAGTGCCTCACAATCAAACAACCCTTTATTTCACAGTGTGTAGCTGAAGGTCATGGCGATCCAATTTCACCCAGTAGGAGAGATTGAACAACGCAGATAAAATATCAAGACACTGCAAGCAAAAATGACTTCATGACGCGTGCTCCTCGGCCACCAATCAGATAGAGAACCAGGAGTATTCAGCCTGAATGGAGCGGTCTGCCCAGCATTTGAAACCGCTTCCAAGATGACCGTTTTTACACTCCTGAAAGCGCCGTTTGTGCGAGCTAACCGAAGCGTCTTNGTTTGTGCGAGCTAACCAAAGCGTCTTCATGATAGAATTTGAGGGCATTGGAGAAACACAAATGCATGAATTAACGAACTGCAACGAGTCCGCCTTCGTCGCTCCAAGTGGCCAACCACAGAAATACCGCTAGTAAATAGATGGAGGTTTGTGAACGAATTCAATCTAGAACCGAATTACCCTCGGGTTGGAATGTTTCACTGAGCTGCGTCAGACGCGACGCGAGCGATCGCGCTGGTATGCTGATATAATGGACAGAGCGTCTTATGCAGGAAGGGGAAATGAGGTTTTAAATTGTGATACAGGCAAATTAAAGTGTAGCCCAAGCTGTGCCGTACTAAGCTGCGTAACAATGGTCAGTTCGACCTGTATGATATCTAAATTTATTGCGCATGTTGTAAGTCGGGCTGTGTGGATTAAATAAGAAAAGATTGGGGAAAACCAATTGCAAGATCATCCTGTCCTTTGCTGTACTATACCAGTTGCCCGGCCAAAGAGTTTAGGCGCGCATTTACTAAAACATAGGCGGTAGTGCGACTAGCATTCTAGAAAAATACAAAACTTCCATAACGTTGGACTTGTAATCATCAGGTATCTCACTACATCTTGAGTAGGCAATGAATGTCTATGAATGTCTATGATGAATGTCTATGATGTCTATGTTCCAGGNAATGTTTATGATGTCTATGTTCTAGGCAATATTCCTCAATAACACACCCTTCTGGATACAACTAGACCACATTTGGTGTAGGAAGGAATAATGTTAGCCCAGATCGTTCCAGGACTCATTGTATTTTCACTTTGTCCCCAAAACACTTGATATTATCAATGTCACATGAGGCATTGCAGAAAAACCAGATTATCAATGTGCCACTCTGCACTGAGATGCGAAATTCTGCTACACATCATCCATAACTGTCTAGTTTCCATAAACCGAGCAGTGACAAAATCGGTGATTGACGAACACATGAAGCATTTTGAATCGAATGATGGTCCTTATTGGGGTTTTTGCCAGACACATTTGCAAAGTTTTTGCTGCGTTGAGACAAAATCATTATATCACACGATTGCCTAGGCTGCTCAACCCACCAATAGGTCGTATTAATTATTAAGGTAATCATATCGAAATTACGAATGCTGCACCAATCGACTGTGAAAGGCGCCGATAGATAATCTGGTAACAATGTCGGTATGATACCTAAAGACTTAGTTCGTCGGACTAAAGGCTGTAATTTCACGCATTTATTGTGAAGCAACTAGTTGCGCTAGTGCTATCCAGCAATGGAGGCAAACCAGTTATTAACAGAATGCAGGTATCCCGTTAGAAGTGCATGCCCCAATGTACACTCTTTATGGGTGCAGATTGAATCTCCGTAATAGTGACGACACAAATGGGTATATTCAATATATGCAGGTANGCAGATTGCTCACGAACGCAACTATTCCACTGAATCAAGTAAACATTCTCCACACGTGCTGGTGCACAAAACTACCATGTCTGGGATTTTCCGTATTTTTACTGACTATAGGGTAACTGATGACAGCATCAGCTAGTGTTGACTAGTTTCCTTAACAGAGTGTGCCACCTGATGACATGCGTCCTGTGTGAAAGTCAACGCGAATCCATACAACATAAATCCTGCAAAAGTATCCGAGTAGAGCGTAATAATACAGTGCGGGATCTGCGCTCCCGAATGATAACCAACAATGGGAGTAATGGTCGAATGATAGGCACCAAACGCGTTCACCCACACAAATGAATTTAATGCTTCATTACGTGTACGTGGCTGACATACAAACTAAGCAAGACCCATCTACAAAGAATCCGATATCCGAAAACATATATGTAAGAACGCTTTTTAGGGTGGTAAAACAGATGTATAACGTGTTCAGTAATAGCCTTTAATGTTCAGTTGCATGGGACAGTGTCGAACATTGAAAACAAAGCTCGTTAGGTATTTCATCTAGAGAGGACAACATCATGACTAGTGCACGAAAGAACCAATATGACGATATTATTTTATTGGACATCGAACCAAAAACAACACGAGGCGTTTTCGAGAAATAACATGGGATATAATCCAACGAATAAATTTCTGAACAACCCGCTGAAGGTGGACAAAACAAACTCCACAACTGAACCACGTAAAGATGTCGTAGGACATCGAAGGCAATCAAACCTTCCTCATTGCAAGTAAGGCAGCTAACTGATTATGTGGGTGCAAAAATAGTTTCAAGGATAACAGATGTAGATTTCTCGAACAAAACAGTCCACAACCTACCCGTGCCACTTGGCTCGGATATTTTGGCTGTGCGTTTCAAAATAAGTGTGAATGTTTGCGTCAGAGAGGGCGGAATTTAAGACAATGGCGATTCTGATTATTGCTAATATGAGAGATGCAATTTCCAAGAAAAGACAACACAGTTGTATCAAACGCGTTAAAAGCCCTGTCATCTTTCCGTCCTGCTTAGACCCTTCATAGTTAACTCTGTAATTCCGTATTCTGTGGCATCCAGAGCGAATGTTATTTAGCCAGAATTCTGTGTGAAACATGGCTGTTTCCTGCCCATAAATGAAAACGTGAATGTGTTGCTCCGAGCCGGTAGCAGATGCATTGCATGAGACAACTTCCAAGAAAACCAGGTCAGGTTTAAAAATATTGCTAGCTTGGTAAAACCAAGGTGATCCGAAAACGATAATTGACCTATACACACATCTGCAAACCAATTTGGTTCTTTCGAGAGGCTCACCTGGAAC